CCTCGGGGCTGAGCCGCTCCGCGGCGGCTGCTGCTGTTTCACCAGATTGGGAAAAAGTGAGACCTCCCTCAGGCAGACCGGGCGATGCCTTGGCGGCCGTATGAGGAACGTGTGCCGAAATCTCCCTTTCAGCTCCCGCTCTCCTCCCATCTGCTTACAAAGCTGGGAGGCTGAATCTAGGGCAAAACTTGTGTAGAGCAGATACATCTCTTAAAAAAAGGACTTGAAACTTTCCTATCGATCTTCCACCTCTCTACAAATAGGTGGTTCCCTCTCTCAGTATATCTTGTGTCAAAATCTGCCTACTTGGCAATTCTCTGGGTAAGGGATAAAGAGCAATCTGACTCCAGGCTGAAACGGTGCTATTCATTTTAACTGCACGCGTATGTGGCGCATTCAGCAGAGAATAATATATCCAGATTTGTTTACCTTCTAGCGAGGAAGCTGTGAGATGGAGAGGGTGGGCTGGTTATTGGCTTTTCATGCAGTAGTCTTATGTCCACCTCGGAGCCTTTATTCACCAGAAAACCTTTTAAAAAGATAGATGAAGACCTTTAATAAATATGCTCTTCATAGAAATGAAATGGTCCAAGCTTTGGCATCTATTCTCTGCCTATCTATGTGTGAGCACTTAACTTCCATATAGCTCTTCTAATTCACAGGCTTCTAAGCACTTGGCATTAGGCTTGTAATTCCTTTCCTTCTGCTGGGAAAACCCAGGCACCAGAAGGTGGGGTGATGTGTCCAAAACCAGTGACAGAGCAACAGATAAAATTCATAGGTATAGTTTCACAGGTGCAGTAAGGGGAGAGGAAACCCATTAGATCATTATCCAAGTTTCTCAACGTCGTAACCTGCAGCTCAGTCCCATCTCTCCTCTCACAGGGGGACTGACTGACTTTTCAGCGCTAACCAAACACTCATATAAGAAAAGTCAGTCACTGCTAATGCTTTGCCAACCTGATCTGAGAAGACTGGCCAGAGTTTCATGGCCCTGCTCATCCAAATCAGCTGAACAGTGTACAGACTGGAGCTCACAGTCGTGGCTGTCACAGGGTCCCTCAGGCTTGCTCAGGGCCCTTGTGGCTCTTCTCAAGATCAGATCTGTGAGCTGTGCAGAGGACAAGCCTGCAAATGCTCAGGGCTCCTGCAGTCACTCCCACCGAGCAGTACAGATCCAGCCTAGAGGAGCTGCTTGTTAGGGATATTCCAGGGCACCGCTGACTTCCAATAGCCAAGGGGAAATTGAGCTTGACTACTAGTTCATAGCTTTGAGGATCTCGTGCTACATTACCAGAATGTCCCTGCTGCATCTTATCAGCAGGACCTACCTTCCAGTGTGTTGCTCAGGTCTTCCCCAGTGCTGAAGCGTCTCTGTCTTGCACTATGGGTGATCCATGGCAATTCTTTGCTCACAGCACTCCCACCAGAGGAAGGAGGGTGTATTGTTTTCTGTCTGTCCTGGGCTGTTGCTCCCTCAGTGTTACCCTCAAGGCTAATCCTGTCCATTCCATGAAATTCTCTGTCTGATGATACACATAACTCATCAGGATTTGGGGCTTCCAGAAGCATTTGGATAGTCATTGTCCTGTCTTGCTCATCCTTGGATGTCTCAGGCTCTGAGCGAGAAGAAGAGCCTTTGAAAAGGTCCAAACTCATCTGCGTTGATATTTTGTCAGCAGAGTCTTGAACCCTGCTTGTTGCATTCAGTCTCTTCATTGCCAGCTCAACCTTTTCTGCAAGTTCCTTGGATAGACTGTGTATGGCTTTCACTCGATCCTGTTTGTTTCTATATGGAGAAAGATCAGAAGGCAAGTCCTTGGAGTCAGGTTTTGCATCCTGCCAAGGAAAAGAGAACCTCTGTGGAAGTGTATATAGAGCCGGGGGAGAGCAGTCCCTCCAATCCTCACATTTCGGAGAACTGAGAAACCAGCATTCAGATTGCAGTGGTGCTGGGGAAGCTAATGCCTCTCTCTTTTTAGGTGATTGATCCGTTTTAAGAAGTAGATCCCTGTTTAAATAAAAAGGAGAAATGTTAGGTTATAAAGACAAAGTAACATTAGCCTTCTTCACAGACCACTATCTTCAGGTAAAGCACTTCACAAAAGAAAAAGAAAGAAAATTTCTCTGTCTGCAGATACATTTGTCAAACACTAGGATGAGGATGGAGCATGGAGTGTTGGCAAATAGGGAGAAGAATCGGAATCTTGCCAGGGCCTGGCAAGGAATAATTAGTATTTAGAAACACAAAGCATAAAAGTAGGCTGAAATGTTTGCCTCAGCCTGGAGAGCCAGAGGGTCAGTCTCCTTCCATGCTCCAGAGATTACAGAACTGGGTCATGCACTGGAGAGCTCAACTATTTCTAAGGAATAATCAATATTTTTACTCGTCTTCAGGAGGCTCTATTCCTCTCGGCAAGATCTCTTCCTGAAAGCTTTCAGTCTTTAATAGACACTAATTACTTAAGTCTTGGATCCTTCCAGTGAGAACAGTCACCATTCCTTTAATGGGCTGGTAAACCAGTGCATGTATAGACTAGATAAAGCACATGCAGGTTGATTTAATGCATTGGCAGGAGAAAGCAAATCTAATTTTATATCCTGAAACACAGAAGCCCTGGCTCACAGTATTATCCTGTAACTGCTGTGGACTTGGGTATAATAAGGCTGATTTTAAGGTGAGGTATGTTAATACCTAGTAGATTAGCCCAATCAGTTGCTCTATTTATTATAACGTGCAACAGAGCACTATGAAAAGAGGCTATCTAGGATGCTTTTCACATCCAAGTACCTGCTTCCAGGCTCTTCACTTAGTAGAGCGCGGGATGTTTTATGCACCCAGGCCATAAAACTCCTCTCCAGGGTCCCACCACTGGTCTGTTGCTGAAACAAAAGTGATCATTAGTTAAGAGCTAAATATCTAGATAATGAGCATTTGGCTTTTGTTCCACTTAGTAATTGGTTCGTGTAATCAGAAAACTGCATGCACCAAATAACAAACCTGTTCTTTTAGCTGAAGCAGTGGAGATTTCCAGGCTTTTGACCCTGGAGTCAAGGGTTCCAGCCTTACTAATGAGCCCAGCAGTTCTTGCCATAATTAGAAGTTAATTGCTCTATTTTTCCAGATAAAACTCTCTCTCCCTGACACTTCAAAGCATTTGTATGAAGTGTTTCATTTCCTGCACAGTGCTGTAGTGATCAGGACTGAAGGGTTTTCAGTATGCCACTCCTTTATGACTTACTTGCTCAGGTTTGTACTGAGGCCTTTCTTCTGCAGAAGCTGTTTCTGTGATGAGCTTGTGCGTCTGGTCAGAACATGTTTTCTTTCCAAAGGCTTCTTTCTGTTTCCTGTATACTTCTTGCAACCTCTTATTTCTCATCTCCATGGCCTGCACCAAAGATTTCTTCTCTTCCAGGCTTTTTTTCTTTCTTTCTGCATTCTTTCGATACATAAATTCTTGAATAATTTCAGGGCTGTAGGGGTGAGGTTTTTTCATGTTTGCCCTCCTCCTTGAAGGGTGATTAAGATTTTCCTTTTCAGACTCTTTCTGTGCCGGGCTCCTTGAGCCTTTCTGTCTTTGAGGAGATGTGCTATTTCCTCTGCTGCAGTTTCTGTACTCAGTTTCAGCTCTCATTAATGAAGATCTCGTCTTTTCTCCACTGAAGGCAGAGGGAGTCATGACCTGAACTCCAGGTGAAGGAGAATTGATCCCTATGCACTGCTGCAGATCTTCTAGCTTTCCTTTTGCAGTATCTTTTGGGAGCCTGGCATTTCTGTGTTCATCATGATGTTTGCTTTGCAGATGTAGGTTCCTGAGTATTTGCTTTGTATCCTCGCCTGGTGTATTTCTGCCCCTTTCAACAGGCGTGCGGGGGGGTACCATGCAGCTTTTGAATTCAGGGCTTTTCCCCAGAGGTTCATTTCCCCTTTCTCTATAGCTCTGTTCCATCGCTGGCATTGCTACCAATCCTCTACCAGGCTCTATGGAAAGCATTTTGAAACAATAGTGATATTATTACTTCAGTGATGTATTAATTCCTGTATTTATCATGTGCGACTCAAACCTACTTCCTACTGTAGGTCTGAAGACTATTTGCATGCGTAGCCCAGGCTTGTATATCTGCTGTAAAATCCTCAGTGTTCTACGGGGGGCGACAAATCCATAAGGGCTAACTTTGGAGTTGCAGTGGCCAATTGTACAAATGATGTGTACTCTGTGGCCCTTCGGGGTAAATATAATTCAATATACAAGGACAGTGAAACCCTTTATCTCATAAACACGTGCTTGTCTGAGTAGCCCTAGGAGATCTCAGTGGTCAGCCTCAGCCATAGGAAGACCCAGGGAAGCTATACAGCTCTGTCTGGCAAACCAGCCCAGCCAAGAAGCAGAGTATGCTAGTATGTGTGGTACGCCAAGTGGATGCCGTATCTCTGTCTGACACTGCACTACGCTAGGAAGACATACCCTGTGTCACGAGCCAGGCAAGCCTGGATTTAAGGACACAGTGTATTTGCAGTGTCACTATCTTCAAAGCCATGATGGATTCATTGTGCCAACTGACCTTGGACAACAGATATAGTAATTGTTCTGGGTGGTGGTTAGTCTGACAAGTGAATTATTGCAAAATTCTTTATAGAAAACTGCTCAGAAGGGTTTTGAAACCATTTGTTTCATCTAGTTCTAAACAGTGGTCAGCCTCTTTTTTGTTTGTATGCCAAAACAACTAATGTAGCAGTGAGAGCAAACTCTACCAAAAGTATTTGCAGTGATGTGCTCTTCAGCTGTGCTCCTCAGCTTTGGAAATTTAGGGGGTGGGCCAAGCAACTTTCTAGCTAACTTCTGACCTTCTCTCCATGCAGAAGCTCCAGGTAGCTTCATACCTGAAACAGAGGATTTGCATTGAATTATTAAAACCCCACACATTCTTTAAAAGAAATTATTTAATTCTATTATAAATCTTTTTAACGGCGATTTCCAGGAATCACATTCAAGATATGGGGAGATCTAAGAAGTTTCAGTTAGAGCTAGTATAAAAAAAAAAAAAGAAAGCTGATACTCCTCTGAGGCAAAAAGTTTTAAAGCACTCAAAATTTGCAGCTAGTCACTCTGCTAGGGTCTATTTGCCATCTGACAGAGAGCCAGTTCATGAATCAGATGAGGGCAAGACATGAGGGTTCAGTAATTTCCTCAGGCTTTACCATTATCATTTATCACCGGTATCATGTTCACACAGTTGTTATGCGCTTTACTCAGAAACCAGTGACTCCCAGAGTCCTCAAGAATGCTAGGGAGAGGCCAAGGCACAAGCGTTGGAGAGCATCATTCTCTGATGGCAGCTGCAGAGAGTTGGTACTTGCTGGGTACCAACTGGCAGATTTGAGGACTGGAGAGAGAAGGATAATGAAAATATGATTCTCCGTGTGATTACTTCAAACTCACCAGCGTAAACTAATTCATTTTTAAACTGGTGAGAATCAGCAGGATGCAGTGTGGAAGAATCAATGAATGATACAGGACAAGGGACCACGTATAATGCAAAAATAAATGATGCAGCATGCAGCACAAACAAATTTTTCTTCCTTAATATGTGGTGTCACATAATAGACAACATTTATCACCGTTTTACTTCATAATTTCAGATTGCATTCACAGCGTGCCAATACTTGTGCTGGCATAATTATGTATTTATATCAAACACTTCTCCAGCGGAAGGTGACTAAATAGATACTTACTTGTTTTTTGCATGGAAATTCCCCCCCTTCAGAGTTCCCCCTAAAGAAAATATTTAAGCTTTATTTTAAAGAAAAGATTTTACAGTTAAGTAGGTATCAGCCTCAGTCCAAAGATACCACTCAGTACTTAGTAAGAGTTATAAAATCAGTTGACTGAGTTGGGCTATTACAGCTTCTATTTGGTAAACTAGTCTGTGTCTTGAGCTGTCTGTGAGCAGTGTCTCTGCAAATTGCCTGTTAGACAAGAAGTGCTTTCAGAGATTGGCTGGTTAATGGGGTTATCCTGAGATCTCCCTTTAACTTGTGAATAATAGCTATAGGGCAAGGCAACATACTCTTGGCTAACAGCCCTGGGCCCCATACCATGGCCAGGAATGGAGACATGTCCATTTACACCAGCTGACTTTGCAGCAGCCTCCAAGATACTTGGCTGTGTTAGAAGTAACTGGCGTCGCTGCCACCTCTGATGGCTCATCTTAATCAGGCAGTTTGGGTCGTGTCATAGAGGAATGATGTTCTGTGACGAGGAAGAGCTTCTCTCTCTGTGTGGCACTGCCTATAACCATGGGCAGCTACTTGGGAAGCTTCAGAGGCATTGTTCCCTAGGGCTACCCAGTTTGGTGTATGACAGCACAACCTATAGAGGAAACTGCCAAAATCTATTGGGCTCAGGAAGACTGAGACTCATCAATGTTTTTAATAAAGCACCTTGCTGTATTATTTTGCATTCTCATATAGCAGCACTAAAAAGGCACGTGGATGCATTTATTTATTATGCTGCCTTAGTTTCTCTAAATGCAACAAATTAATATGTACATCCAATGCCTCATGTCTCATTTCAATTAATTTTTTTATTTTTTTTATCTGTCCAACTTTTATTAACTATAGAAACTATCACGTGAAGAACACAAACATTATGCCAAGTTCAAGAGCAGCCTGAATTTCTGATGAAAACACTTGCTAGGAGGAAATGTTCTCTTATTTTTTTCCACCTTTGGACAGATGAATATTTTATTGCTGTTGTGACTTAATTTTTTGTTAACTACAGCAAATTTATAATTCATCAAATTCCTGAGCACTCTGGCTCTGACCCCTGACCCGTCATTCATCTCGCCGTAGCCCTGCCTTGGCTCTTTCGCTGACAGAAACTAATAGCCAATAAAGACACCCTGACATTGGCAGTTACAATGATGAATGTTTCGTGTGGCATGGTCTTATTATGACCCACTCGCAGAGGAAAATCAAGCCATTTTTCAAACAATCCATTCAAACAAAAAAAAGGAGGGAGAAGGAAATTATTATGTATTTCATGCATTTTAAATAGTATCTGGGTAACAGAGCACATGATACTGCTGTACTTATAATTTCATCTGCACAGTATCAGAGAGCTTAGATTTTTTTTTCTTTTTGTTCCCCACAAGTTACATATCCAGTACCTTTGACAGTGTAAAATACAACTGCTTTGAGTGATCTGCACCTATAGCACTACCACTCTTTGCCTTGTTCCCTACAAATTTTGAATGCAACCATTTCCAATGCAAAATGATAGCACCAAAACGGGCAAAAGTACTTCAGTAATTCAAACCTAGACTTAGAGATACAGTTCAAGGAAAGCTGTAAACTAGTGATGAGGACTGCTGTTATTGTTGCTGAGTGTGTAGCAAGGTCATGGATCTCTGACTTTTCACTACTTTAATTTGGTCCCTATTTTGCAGGATGGGAGGTCCTTCGCTTTTGGTGGCACTCTTAATTCACTAGAGAGCACCAAACTGAATAGGTGACAGACACTTCTTCCCATCCAGGACAAATGGCTTATTTTTATTTCTGATGATTTTCAGTCCCGGCAGGCCTGGACTTCGACTACTGCAGGCAACAAAGTGTTAAAGGTACCAAAGTCTGGTTCTTTGTTAATGCTCGCTGGCATGCCATTGGTATGAAGCATGCAATGAACTCTGTGCACGTGGAAAGCCTGAGGCAGGGCATGTGGAAATTATTTGCCAAACTTCACCAAAATTCAGTGACAGAAAGTGGCATCAGGCCGGCAGGCTGCTACCCCGTCCCTGTGGCTGCAGCATGAACAGCTGAGCCCTGCACTGAGCCTTGTGCCCTCGTGCAGGCTGTGGTCGTCTCCCCACCTTGAACAAACGCTGATCTGTGTCTGTCACCTCAGTGGTTTTCTTCATTGCTTGTTTGCCGTGCCTGGGCCCTGATCCTTAACTGCAGGTGCTAGGAGTTGGTATTATTTTAATAACCAGCTAAAGGTTTTGCCAGGTGAGCATCCAAACACTGTTATCCAGGTAGTTTTGTCTGTCATTTCTCCAGATTTTCATCCTTACTTTTATCTGTCACTGCTCTGTCCAGAACAGATGACCGGGGTGAAGGCTGCCTCAGGCTTTGAATTCTCCCTGCTGAGCTTCTTTCTCCTTGGTCTTTAACCATGACAAAAAACACAGAAAAAAATTAGTGTGTAGCTAAAATCAAACTGCAGACATGACAGCTGTTACCAGCAAAGCAAACCTGTGACACAAATGGCAGATTTTAGGTGACAGCTGCAAGCCACCTTTTCATTGCCAACTGTGCTCCTAGGAGCCACAGCAATTTCACTTTCCCCATTTGTTGGCCGTGCTTCATGGAAGCCGGTTCAGATTTAAAGGTGTCCTGAGCTGCAATGGGTGGACGAGGGGACCAGCCCCATCCACTAGGAATGCGAAAGTGGGAGTCTCTCTGCCAGCACTTGCTAGTGTTGGATCCAGCAGGACTCCACTTTTTGTGGTGCTGGAGACGTCCCTGCTAAGCAAGCGTTTGTGAGGATCCCTGAGGTTATGCCCGTTGCCCCATCTACCCATACAGCATCCCCTGAACTAAAAGAAGGTGCAATGTGACACCTTCCCCTTTGGTGTCTCCCTGGAGATCCAGACTAACCTTTCTCTGCACAATACACAAACGTTTGCATACTTAGGCATGTTGCCCATAACAAATTGTTATGATACAGCATTGCTAACCTGGGATCTTGAGGGCTTTTTTATAACCTCGCTGTCCTCCAGGCATGCTAAATTCTTCTCTCTGTGGTATTCCACGCGCTTCATCAGGCAAGAAAAGAGCAGACCTCAGACTCGCAGCACTAAAACCTAGACAAACAAATATTTGAAAGCTGTTGGGCTACAAGAAGTGCAAATGCTCATACCCAATAGCATTGAGCTGCTTTATGTGTAAAAAGCAGAAGCAGGCTTCTCGGGACAGACTGCAAGTAATTTCTGGCAAAGCAGCTGTGATGATACCTTTTTTTCAGCTGTAGAGCACAGTCAGGCAAACCGAACAAGCTGCCTCTGAGCTGTTAATCTTTGGCCTTAGAGGCTGCCTCGGTTCTGCAGGTCTAACTGTTCATCTGATAGTTCCCTAACTCAGTTTTGTAAGGTTATCTGGGTTAAAAACCAAAATAAACTAGCCGTCCTACTGAGAAAGTTCAATGAGGCTCAGCACGGGCTGTGGCTCGGGCTCCTGTGTATTAGGAGGGGCAACGTTTCCAGTGATGATAGAAAGCGCTGCCGTTTCGCGGGGAGACCACGTCATGCAGACAGTAGCTCCCAAAGACCTGGAGGAAGCTCCATAAAGCACTTCCGTACATCACTCTAAAGGTGATTTAGGGCAGACCTAAGGGAAATGCCCATGGAAGCTGGTGGGTGGTGTGTGAGAGGGATCATAGAGCTCAATGAATTAGCACTAATACCATTATAGGAGTAAGAATGTAATATGTACAGCTTTTCAGCTTGCCTCCCCTGGTCTGAGACAGCCTCAGTAATCCCCTGTTGGTGAGAGGACAGCCCAGCGGACGATCCCTGCTCTCGAGTCCAGCCATTACTCACAGCGATCCGGGATCTTAAATCACTCTAAACCAAAGTGACAGCTGTAGATGAATGGTACTCCAGGTCTAAATTTAGCAGCAAAGCAGGATAAGGAAGTCTAATAATATTTGCTTTCAGATCCATGCTAGTTCCACTGAATGAACTGTTAAATCCTCCGTAATGCCTCTGAACTACACAAGTTCTGCTTTAAATCACCTGTGATGCCTCTCCACACTATTATGCTGCTATTTCCCATGTGCTGACATCACCCATTTCATGCTTCACATCTGGCAAAAGGTACAATGTGCAGCGATGTGGCAGACTGGCAGAAAAAGAGTCAAATACAGGGACAGAACCAGACATGCGGAGGGTTTCTCTCACAGCTCTTCGGTGGAAGCACCAGGCCGCTCAGTTCCTTTGTATACCCACTTCTGGGTAAACAAATGCAACCAGGGTCCAAAAAGTTGCTGATGCAACCGTGCTGTTTGCAGTGCGTTCCTCTACAGCAAAGAGGAGTCAGTGCTTGGGAGGAAAGGGGAGAAAGGAATATTTTTGCAGCTAATTCTTTACTGTTGTGTGGACATAAATTTATAAATTTGTGCATGTTGGGGAGTAAATCCAGTGGAGAAGTGAACTCAGCAAGCAGGTAGATACGGATAGCACAGGGAGGCTTATAGCTCCCCCACGGGCTGCAGAAATGAATGAATTTACCATATGGACATGGTTGCTGCCCAACATATGGAAAAGCATGGGGTGGAAATGGTGCGGTTAGTTATCCCACCATGCCAGCGGACCGCGAGGAAATAAATACCCTGTTTCAGCCTTGCTCCGTAGATGCCGGTCTGCTACTAACCTCTGTAAGCTGGAGCAGGAGGAGCAGAAACAACTTTGCGCACCATTCGCTTTTGCCGTGGCTCCTTGGCATAGGTGGCATTCAGGCACTTCTGCTCCTGAGCTGCCGCTTGCTGGTGTTGCTTCTGCTCCCGGATTCTCTCCTTGAGCTGCTCTAATTTCTGCTTGGGTGATTTTTTCCATGCCTCCTCCAGCTTGCAATCGCTGGGCCTGCTGCCTGGTGGAAGGCAGCACGTGGGAAGCAGCACTGCCGTGGGCACAGGATCATTGCTCCCACTGCCGGGTGCCACAGCAGAGAGCGGACTGCTCCCTGCAGGGGAATGGGATGGGTGATGCAGAGAGCAGGGAGGTTTTCCCATTTGTACTATTTGACTCCTCCTTGAATTTGTGTGGTCCCTGAAGTTGTCCATTCTTGGTGAGTACAGGCTCTTTGCAGGAGACCATGTGCCAGCTGTGCCTTCTCCATCCTCAGCTTCCCTCCCAGTAGGAGTGGAGGGTGCTGACAGCGAGTGTCCCTCGTGGGAGAGAGGCGTCGTTCTGGACGAGCCAGAGCTCGCAGCAGCGCTCTCGGAGAAACAGGCCTGCGACCAAGCAGGAGACAGGGTGGCACAGTTTCCCCTTCTCAGGAAAAAGAAAAACAAGATTGAATATGTAGGGTGTATTATTAGATTGGTTGTTAGAATGCTATAATGAATAACAAGTTGCGTTTCTAGAACGCACTCTACTGGTGGTCTCAGTGTCCCCACAGGATCAGTGTTTTGCCAGATACCAGGGGTTTGGCAAATGAAGATAATATTGGGAAAGTGCAAAAGGAACCCTGCTCTGATAAGAGTTATTACAAGCGTGGGCTAAGGCAGATAGACTAACACAAGGAATTAATGTCAAGGCAATAGCATTTCTGAGGGTGTAATGATCTGTTGACTTTTTTTTAACAAAAAGAAAGGTGCTAAACTTTTTCTGAAGTCCTGCATCCCAGAATTTTAAATCCTTTTGAAGCTGTGTGTGCCTTGGCCTTTCTATCCCCTGCACGCTGCATGTTATAGCTTATTATTTACCTGCAGGCTGGAGGAATCTCGTTGCTCTTTTTCTCATTCCAAGCTGTTTCATCTCCATTCTTCTCACCTTCTGCAGCATGACAAAAATCTGTCAGTGATAGCCAAGAGTTTCCTTAAACAATTATTAAATTAACATAGTCCATTTTATTGGGGACTCTTCCCCATCCGTATGTGACCCTTTGGATGTGTGGGTTCAATTTGGTTCAGAAGCAGTAAAGAGCCTTGGTACTGGTCCTGCCTGCACTGCAGTTCTGAGAGGGAAAAGTGAGTTTACTCTTTGGTATGAAAGTTTCTGGTAAATAATTCAGCATGTTGCTATCCTGTCTCCATGCCATCCAAGTGGGCAGGGCAGGCTGAATAGTTGGTGACTAGCTTGCACGGAAATCCGTGCTGCCTTTAATACTCTTTCTCCCAGCTACCTGAGTAGCACCATAATTAAAAGTGTTAAAGTGTGCCCTCGCGGGACACACAGCCCTGCTGCCATTTAAACCCAGTGATGGACATTCATCTCATCTTTCCCTCCCTAACTCAGATGGCTTAGGGCCAAGCAACTAGATCCACATGCAAAACCATGAACCACAGCAAAGCTTGTACCAGCTTAGCCCAGCACATCTCTCTTGCTACCCTTATTACCAAGACCAGGGTCCAAGCCGTCTCCATGAGCATGGTACAAAGCCCTCGTGCTTAGGGAGGAAATAGCAGCCATAAATATTAAAAAGCTGACAGCTAATGCTCTTCCCAGCCAATAAGTTCTCAAGAACAAAAACCCAGCAGATGCAAAAATAAGCCTGTTGTTGGCATTTGTTTTAAAGAGTCCTGTGGAACTTTACAAAGCTTCCTGCTTTTTTCTTATCCCGTTCTGTCATTTAACTATGATTTTAAACACTTTAGATAGTCACTGCTAAAATGAACAAGCAAAACGCTGTCACTTCAATTATGCCTAGGACAAAGCTCTGCAGATAAAAAGCACAAGTAGCTTTTTCTTCGCTTTGTAGTGGACATTAACACTATATCTTTTGCCTGGGCTCTCTCCAGCAAGGTGCAGCTCCTTGTGCTTTATGAAATCCCGCTGGGAACATTAGTAGCTATCTGATGAAAATACACACTTTCTTCAATAAAGAGGGCCTTTCACCATCTCCTGTCACCTTCTGTTCGCTCCAGGACCAAAACAGCCCCCCAGGCTCAGCAATATTTTCCAGTAACTCAGAACTCACCAGAGCTTTCTTCATGCCAGAGCTTTCTTCTGGCTGCCTGTGATTTGGCACAACTCCACATTTGATGATCAAGTTTGCTTTCAATTCTCTGTAGCTGTAAAAAGGCAGATTTTTCTTTTGAAAGAGGACATATGCTTTTTTTCTGTGGTAGCTTGCTGCTGGCATACACTGCTTCTCTGATTAATTTTGTACTCCTAGTTACTGTGTAAATACTGGCATGCCTGAGCACGTTCCCGTGGTATTTCCTACAGTTGGAAGGAATGCAACGGACTGGGAAGATAACACATGAAATCAGCTCTCTCGCCATTATTTACACTTTGCATGTGTACATGTGCCTCAGTTTTACCAGGCCTGTTCTGATGTTTTTAAAAATGGCATAAGCTGGCAGTAGCAAATATAAGCAGCCAGTAGCGAATATAGCAGTGAGATACTAGTGTCGGGCCTTGACTGTGCAAGCAGCTCTGCATGTGGATAATATTATTCATTCAGCCTAGTAATTGCACCGTTAGGACTGCAGCTGCTGTGCCTGATGTAAACACTGTCCTGCTAGGAGGACAACAGGGCAGCCAGAACTCAGCGGATGCCCCGGCTCCGGGGGCGTCAGTTTTTACTCCTCTCTGGGCTTCAACCACAAGCGAGACAAACCTTTATGCGTTCCCATCACTCATTTTGAAGAGTTTCCTGAAATTTGGTAAGATTCCTTGCTTTCCCCCTTATCCCCCTTTTGGCATTTAGCGAATGATTAAAGATGTTATACATTCACTGCGAAAAAGAACAAACGAAGTGGCATTTTTATAGCCCTTTCATTCACATTATCTCCATGAAAGCAAGCTCTGCAGAGGGAATGCGCAGGTAGTTGACAGGCGGCACTACAGGTATGTGACTGCCAGCGTCCCTGAACCACACTTACCACTGCTTTGGCTTTCTGAAGACTCTTCCAAGCCAGGGCCACATCTGGGGAAAGTGGAGATAAAAGAGGTGCTTTAGCATCTCCTCACGGCTCTCTTCACTGTTGACAGTTTCCCCTCCTGCCCAGCCCAGAACAGTTTATAGAGCTGGCAGCTGGAGTGCAGAATTGCTCCTGGAAAATTGTCTGGGCTGCTTTAGTCTATCGCTGTTTTCAACGTGCATTTAATTCTATCAGACCTAATGCTCTTTCAGCTATGTTATTGCTTATTCAGCAAAATCTCCACTTACATTAGCTGGTAGTTTTGCATGTATTTGAAAAAGAGACTAAGCTGATTTCTCCCATTTCAGTTCTACTTGGCAGTACCAGATCTACCTGTGAGAGTGAGAATGACTTCTTTCTCTTGTGTTTTTTGCAAAGAAGAAACAAAGCAAAATATCAGGAATAGAGAAACTCCTAGTATGAGTGTATTGCATACATTCAACGGAAAACGAGTCTTGAGGATAACTTCAGGCAGAGGAAGATTCAAAGAGCAGCTTTCTCTGCTAGAAAGCAGCAAGAAACAGGGAGTTCAGGTGTTGCCATAAGTCTTTATTATTATCTTTATTATCTTGTAACATGGAATCTCTCTTTTAGGAAGCCTTTCCTACTGATATGGCAAACCATTTATGTGGGTTAGATCAGCCCCCAACTTTGATTTATACGGAAACGGAACTTTCCTTGCAAGTTGGTCTATGGGACTAAGTAAAATAATTAAGAGAGAGTTTATTTGAGGTACCTGGGGTACATCTGCATTGAAGTGTGTGACCCTCACATGGTTACTCATCTGTTCCTTCCTCCAGGACTGCAAGGGTGTGGGGAGATGTCTCATGTCCTAGGGCAACACTCAGGCCAGCAGCTCCTCTTTCCTGTTCCTATGTGCAGCTCTGGTGTATCTTTCTATCTGATATGACTTTTCTATCAGAGCAGCTATCAGATTGTAAAATCCTCTTAGCGACAAGGTACAGGTTTTTGCTTGTTTGGCCAGCTGTGAGCAGTACACCTGGGCTTTAGTTTCATTAACTGCATCAAGGTAAAACGACAGTGCTTTTCTCCCTGAGATTTGAGCCTGAGTTAGCTAATCGCAGTGCAAAATCACACCAGCACTGTGGAAAGAGGGAGTTTGTTGCAAAGAGTTACAAAACTGTCCAGCACTCTAAATCTTCAAAATATTTGCTTCATTGTGTTGGAAGTCATACAATCCAGGTTAAACTAAACACTTAAAGCCTTTAAATAACCAAAAAATCCTTAGTTTAAAATAAAAAATATCCAAGTCTTTGACTATGACCATGCAGATGATAATGGAAGCTCATTATTCTCATAGCAGCTAGTGGAATTGATTCTGCGGATGCCAAAACTGTTGCTCATTTTTCAGCCATGCTATAGATCTGCTTACTTGATATCCATATCTGAAATAACCATGAGCAAGGACTAGTCGTTGCTGCCCTTTGAGAACAGCCTTGGCCTTGCTTATACCTACTGTTTCCTCATCCATAATTGCTGATTGTCTTTACATTTCTGTGGCGTTTGCAGATGTTGTCTGCTATCATTAAATTTCTCGGTGTTGTGAGAGAGTCCTGGGTTGAGACAGGGCTATGGCACAGGGGGAAATGTCCTGCTCTAGGCAATCACTACACATCTAAACAGTCAAGAAAGTCAGCTTCCTCCCATATCCCGTTCCTGCCTGGTTAACACCTTACCTTTCGTAGCCTCGTCCATGGATGGAACAAACCCTTCACTGAGGAACTGGGCAAAAGCACCTAAAGAAGCATTTAAAGAGGATCCCTGGGAGGGCTGGAGCCTTTCTAGAGAGATTAATCCCAGAAACCTCTTCCAAAGGACGAGCTGAGAAAG